TGGCTGATCTCACAAGAAGAAAGATTGAGAATATGTGTTCTAATTAATCAAAAATCGCATGAAGATCTGAATAAAAATCCCCAGGGGTCTGAGCTCACTCTGATTTGTATTGGTTTGACCCCAGCAAAGTTGCTCTTCTTTTGAGGAGGAGAATCTGGCCTGAAGAATGCATTTGGATCAACCTAATATCCTGAACAGAGCCCATATCTCCAAGCCCTTTGTAACCTAAACCCACATCCTCACCTATACCCATCCATTCCTAACCATGCGAACTTGTCTGCTTATTTCCTACACCCCCACCAACTCCAGTCCAAGACCTAAAAAATGAAGCATATTTCCCATAATGAAAGATGGCTACCACTCGGACCATGTTATTTCCTACATTCTTTACAAAAATTTGCAACTTGTGAAAAAAATAAACATAGCAGTTAAGTGGAGGATGTGCCAAACAGAGTTGGCATAGCAACCAGAAAGTGTCAAGTGCTCATTTCAATATTTTCCCCTGCAATGCCAACTGGGAAGTGAGCATTACTGTGATTAAAACATAGGGATGTTCAATTATAAGTGATTCCATGGCACAGACATGTGATGTGTCCACTGCTGTAAAAAAAGGATCTGCTAATAAAAAGGCTATTGACAGTAAGAAGTAATTTATGAGGAAGTAACTAACAATGGGATGTTAGCTGTTCATGAAGGAAAAAAACTGATTTAATTACTATATCTATCCATTTGCCACAAGAGGACATAGCTCCCTCCTGTTCTTGTGGGGGGAAAAAAAGCATTATAGTAGCAGTTCCATCAGCTTTAGCAGGGATCCCACACTTTCTTAATAAACAGCACTTAATAAACTGCACCTCAAACTGCTGAAAGCAAAACTTGTCTCATTTGTGTGTGTTAAGAGGTGTAGGTTGTAGTTGTGTTGATCTAAGGACATAGCCCAGACAAGGTTCTTAGGTCAATCTGATATCTTTTATTAGACCAACTGAATAGTTGGAGAAATGCTTCTTTGAAAGCTTTCGGGTTTAAAAACCCTTCGTCAGGCTGAGGGAGCATTTGCAGTTGGGTGTGTGATCTTCCTGGATGGAAGCAATAGTAAAGAAGCCAGAGGCTGGCATGCAATGCAGGCAGGAAAGCCAGTCAGTGAAAATGTAAACTGAGACATCTGGGGGTGAGAGACAGTCTGTGGGGAGAAGGGGTGGAAGGGGAATGTAGCAGGTAAAAGTGGAGAGGTACCTGCTACCTGGGGAGTCAGATGTCAGGTAGGTTGTAGCGTGTCATAAATCCAAAGTCTATATTGAGTCCATGAGTTTCTGTACCTAGGAGGCTGATGAAGTGAAGTTCATAGGCTCATCTGTGAAAAGTGGTTTGTAAATTCAAACAAGCACCAAACCTTGCTAACCTCCTCACCAGCAGCCAAGTTCCTACAGTCCAAGACACCGAATGTTCCAGACCATGCCATGACAAGAAATGCAAAACCTGTCAACATATCTCCAGTACCCCCACAAACTGCACCAGAATCTATTACAGATAAGAATACCCAACTACCTGTGGGGGCACATTTTTAACAAGAAAACCACTCTGTCTCCAGTCTTTCAGTCCTGATCTTCATAGGGAATTTACAAACCACTTTTCACAGATGAGCCTATGAACTTCACTTCATCAGCCTGCTAGGTACAGAAACTCATGGACTCAATATAGACATTTGATTTATGACACACTACAACCTACCTGACATCTGACTCCTCAGGTACCTCTGCAGTTTTACCTGCTACATACCACCCCGCCTAACCCCTCACCCCCACCAACCAGCCTCTCTCTCACCCCCTGACACCTCAATTTACATTTTCACTGACTGCCTGTCTTGCCTGTATTGCATGCCAGCCTCTGGCTTCTTTACTATTCCTTCCATCCAGGAAGAGCGCACACACACCAACTAGATGCTTCCTCAGCCTGATTAAGGGTTTTAAATCCAAAAGCCCATGCCTCACAGATGACATCCCAGGCAGCTAAGCTCACCTGGAGCCTCACAACTCCACTGCAATCAGCAAGCCTCAGGCCTCTCAAAGATCTTACAGGTCTAGGCTTTCCTCAGCCAGGACTGTGCATGCGTGAAGTGGCTGGAGGTTATAAGGTACCTCCTATCTGCCTTTCACCAGGGAGGTCCTCATTCCTGGCATTTCTTGGGGGCTACTGCACCACCGGCAGCCCCACCAGGCCTCCCAATCCTGGTTGGGGGCAGTTTTAGGTCATGCCCAGGACCTGGGGCCTCCTCCTTCCCCATAGGTCCAGCCCATACATCCAAGTTCATCCTGGCACAGGAGCTCAGCAGGGACATGCTCTTCCCCTGCTGGTTGGTGATGTAGTGAGTGCCACCTCCGGCTCTGAGAGCAGGGCATTAAATGATTTAAAAAAAATGGAAATAGGTGCGGACAGAGTGAGGAGGGTGGCACTCCCTCTGTCTGCAGGGGGAACTTGGGGAGCACCAGCAGTGGGAGATTCACCTTCAGGAACACCAGCTGCTCCACCAAACCAGGATCCAAGGAGGTGCGGTGGGGTGTGACAACATCCCCAGCAATGCTGAACACTCTCTCGCTTGGAACACTGGTCAGTGGACAGGACAGGTGTTGCCGGGCAACTGTGGCCAGATTCTGCCACATCTGGCTGCGGGTTGCCCAGTAGGGCAAGAGGTTGCCATCCAGTGGCTCCATGTCCTTGGCAAGATAGGTAACCAGTGAAGCCTTGGCGCTACCTGCCTGAGGCTGGGGCCTGGTGCATCTGGACCCCAACATTGAAGCCATGCCCTTAGCCCACATTGGCAGTGGCTGGTGTGGAGGAGACTAGCTGGTGCTGGGAGTGCTGGCATGGGAAAGTGGATCCCCCTCTTCCACATCCCCTCACCTCTGCCCTTCTGCCTCCCTGACTCTGTTCACCAGCACCTCTGTCCAGTGATCGAGGGTTTTGGTACTGCACATGCTCCCCTTGACCCTTGGGTCATACATGCCCACCAGCACGTGGACCATACTGGACCACAATGGATCCAGCCATTTTTTGATGCCCTCCTTCAGCTGCTTCACCTGCTGTCACCTGGGGCAGGCCGCTGCCTGCACCTCTGGTGACAGCGGCCTGCCCCATCCAGGAACAATGATTCCCTAGAACTTCTCCATTTCATTCTCAAGCTCCCTCACTATGGGGATCACCTGGCTAAGGAGGGCATCGCTACTGCCGAGGGTCTCAGTGGCCTTGAGGAATGACTTGAGGACCACCAAGATCTGGGAGATGGATCCCACTCTGCTTTGTTAAGGGGGCCACTGATCCCAAACTCCCTGAGCAAGGCTATCTCATGGATGGCCTTCTGTTGCTCCACCAGCCTTTCAAGCATCAAGTATGTGGAGTTCCACCGAGTCTCCACATCCTGCATGATTCTGTGCTGTGGGATGCTCAGCTCTGCCTGTTTGTCCCATAGCATCTTGTCCTCCTTGATAGTGCAGTGGAAATAGCCTGCCACCTTCCTGCACTTTGAAGTCAGCTGGCTGGTAGTGACAGCACCATCACTGGCAGCCCTATCCCCCTCCAAGTCATCCCTGACTAAAGGTGGAACTTGTGTGCCACACAGCAGATGCCAACAAAATTGGCATCATGTACTGCCTTGACCATATCGGAGGGTTTTTTTGGTTTCCCGATTTGATTTGGATTTGGTGATCTGGCCTCTGAATTGGGCCGAATCTTCTTCGAATCGAATCGGAGACCGAAGCTTTGCACACCCCTGCTTGCAGGATAGGACTAAAGCCTAAATATAGTTAGACTTTATTTTATCTTTAATACTATGAATGAAATGTCAATGGGGAACTATACTATCAGATATATGTAACAGCATGACAAATATTACCAACTGTAATATTTTGGGCACATCTACACGTCACCCTGTGTCGCCATAGCAACATGGTACATCGCTGTACGACATGCTATGGACAATGTAGCGATCCTAGCAACATAGCAATGTACATGACTGGCAGCTACTTTGCTGTAGCAGTGTCCTCCCCCATTTTAGCATGCTGCTACAGTGAAGTAGCAGCTAGAACTAACCGTGCACCATGCGCACAGCACAGGTAGTTACTGTGCTGTACTTTAGTATTTCCAAAAGGAAGTACTAAAACATGGTGCAGTAACAACATCAGCATAGGGCAATATGTAGACGTGCCCTTTGTGGGGGAATTTGAGGATAGATGATTCACCTGTAAGGAGAGGACATTATCTGGTACTTTAATTTTTTCCTGGGCATTTTATAGTAGTTATCATCACATGTACCTAGTTTGTAAAGCATTTGATGAGAAAATGATAAAAATTGCCATAGTGTGTCAGTCCAATTGGCCATCTAGCCCAGTATCCCATCTCCAACAGTAGCAAGTAGTGGATGCTTTTTAAGGGAAGAGCATAAGAAATAGGGCATGGAGAATACTTAATTCCCTGTTATACTTACCCAGTTACCAGCAGTCACAGGTTTAAGGATGCCCTAAGCTTGAGGTTACATCCCTGACAGTTATACTTAATAGCTGCGATGGTTCTATCCTCTATAAGTTTGTCTAATCTATTTTTTTTACTTGGTTATATGATACATTAATCAATTTACCCTCACAAGACCCCAGGAAGATAGGGTTTCATTTATGTGTCATTATTCCCATTTCACAGTGGGGAAAGGAAAAGTTAAGTAACTTCTTTAGGAATGTACAGGAAGTGAATGTCTTAGAGTACCCAGACCTCCTAAGTCCTAACCAATCTACTGACTGCTAAAACCATCCTTCATCAGGGAACCCAGCAGTGATGTCCTGTCATTGCTGATAGAAAATAAGGTATTTAAGGACACAAGTTCTTCTTGTCATCATCTTTAATGAATCTAAGTGTTGAAAAAGAGCAGCGGGTGGGAATATCAAGAGGACAGAATCTTCGCTATCCGATGAACCTGATCAGAAATAAAAGGAATAACAGAAGCCCATATACCTTACCCCAGCCTGTCAAGATGAAGCCCCACAGGTACTTGGTATCCGAAAAGAAAGCCACAAATATCAGGCTATGTAGGTAGAGGCCTTCAACTAGGATCCAGTAGTAGTTGGTGGCCAAGAAGTAAATAAACATCACAACAATAATCTTGCATCCCACCTGTGAAAGAATCCAAGTAAAATAGTAATAAGTCAATATAGTTAAATTTAGCAAATTTTAAAAACCATCAAGGCCATTCCTGGCAGTCTGCCTTGTTAGTATTAGACATTTATTTATAGGCCATCAGCTCTCCATTTTTCTTTATGGACTGTTCTCATTTTTTTCTTTTTTATTTCTAATTGAATTAGAATGTGTGAAAGTGAACAACTAGTGACAGCCCACAGAAACAGGTGTATTGAAGGCCAGTGCTGTACAAGCTTCCCATGTACACTGCCCTCAAGCTGGGGGTACGCGTACTCCTGGGGGTACTTGGGATGGCCTCAGGGGGTACTCGGCAGCAAGTGCTGCCGCCGCCAGCACTTCCACCACCACTGTGCCACCAGCACTTCTGCTGCTGCCATGCCGCCGGCACACTTGCCAACTGCTCGTCTGGCCACCAAGGAACTCCTGCCTTCTCGACTGGCCATTGGAGGTACACTGACCCAAAAATGTTGAAAACCCCTGTCCTAGGGGTATCTAGGTTCTTTTGAAAATCCATGAGGTTTTGCTCTTTAGGTTGAAAAACAACCTTAAAAAAGATGGCCAAAAAACCCTAAGTTTCCTTGAGAGTCAGTGGGACATGGGCTGCTAAGTGCTTATGTTATTTTTGAAAATGAGACTTAAGTTCTTGTGAAAATTTTTGCTCCTCAATATAAACACGAGAGATATATAACATAAACAGGAGCAGATTTCCAGCACTCATATAAACTACCTGAGGATTTGTCCTAATACCTTAAAATTGCTTTTCCTTGGTATCAACCGGTTATTCTAAAAGGGATATAGGTTGTAACAAAAAATAAAACCTAATGCAGAAAATACTTGGCTAATGGGCTAATGGTTTTCCACTGGGTCTAATGCTTACATATTGTGACTTGTCTATTGCAGGTGCCACTACAACACTTTGGAGATCATTCATCAGCAGAGAATCCAGCTCTTTGACTCCTATGCGAGTATGCACTACTTTGTCCTTGATAAAGATGCTGACAGCTCTTAGCATGAAAGAGACAAACAAGTGCATGTGGATGTAATTCCGAGTGCAGTGCAGTCTCCTGTGGAAGAAAAGGATCATTTAGAGAAGGGCATCATTCTGCACCTAGACAGCAAAAGATAAGAGGAAAAACTGCCAGGATTCATAGTCTGAGTCACTATATCACTATGTAGGAGTTATGCTAGAAACAAAGTTTGCAAACCCTGCAGTGGAATTTTATTTATTTCACCATATTTATTTTAAGCTGCTTTCACTGGAATTTCATTAGAAAAATTCCATTAGTTTCAGGTTTCTATAAAACCAGAATCTGGGGCCAAATCTCTCCTGCCAAGGTCACTGTTAAGTAATAAAATCAGACTTCCTTCTGGCTCTTGTGTGAGTGGCTAGAACAGGTGATGTTTAATGATTTAATTCACGGTAGCCTAATCAAGATGACAGAGAGGGGAAGAGATAGGCCCATAACCCTATGTACTGGATTTCAGAGCTTGTTGAGAAGTGCTTGTTTAATCCTCCTTTGGTAACCATTTCATAGATCAAGCAAATTGCTTGCTTTAAAGACAGTTCAACTCTGATTCCTGGATCCAAACTCTGATTTGCATTTTACGGCAAACAAAGACTCCAGATCAGATTCATCCTGACTTCTGGAGCAGTTTGGATCTTTTGTAATCCAGGCTCAGTTGCTATTATATATTTTATATAAAAATGGCAATTTTAGCTGAAATTTTCAAAGGAGGAGTGAAGTGTCCAGATTTCACTAAATTTCAATGGGAGTAGAGTGCCTAACTCCCAACTCCTTCTTTGTTACCCCATCTCTCATTTATTTGATGCTAAGGACCAACTTTATCTTTAGTCTAACTCTATGTGACTTCAGTGAAATCACACCAATGAACTGGGCCTAGTATTTAAAAGGAAACAGTAGGACATTATCACAGCTATCAAAGTAAGAGACCCTATAATATGTTGCTCTTCATTAACTGAAAAATCAGTACAGAAAGTTAAATAAAAGAGGAAGATAAATATCCTGGCCAGGAGCACACAATAGCTAAGATCCTTCAGACAGATCATTAAAGTGGATGCTCCTTGAAAAGTCAATACCAATACTGATATCCCCTGAGGTAAAACCTGAGAAATATCCTTTTAGTGAAGAACCAGAAGTAGCTCAGTATTCTTGCTCATTACAGAGGTAAAACTTTAGCCCTTTTGTGTGTGCTTCCAAGGAATGAAGTTGTTCTAAGAATGAATACATGAACAGCACCTTGTATCACATCTACAGTCAGCATGCATTGCTGCAAAAGACTTTGGAGTCAGGTGTTCTGTACAAGCCATTTAAATAATCCACTAAACCTCCTGCACTAGCCCCCAACTGTGATAAACACAAAGACTGATTCTGTATACACTAGAGGCCAGATTTTGAAAAGTACTTTAGGAATGGAAGTAGGACTTCAACAGAATTTAGGATATATCTACACTGCTGCTCTTGAGCAAGTGGAAACGTGGACAAACTACTAAAGAGGAGTACAAGAGTATTGCTTGGGCATGTAGGGATGAAATCAGGAAGGCCAAAGCACAATTGGAGTTTTAGCTAGCAAGGGACATGAAGGGTAACAAGAAGGGTTTCTACAAGTATGTCAGCAACAAGAGGAAGATCAGGGAAAGTTTGAGCCCCTTACTGAATTGTGGAGGCAACCTAGTGACAGATGATGTGAAAAAGGTAGAAGTATTCAATGCCTTTTTTACCTCAGTCTTCACAAGCAAGGTCAGCCCTCAGGCTACTGCACCTGGCATCACAGTGTGGGGAAGAAGTGAGCAGCTGACAATGGCAAATGAACAGGTTAGGGACTATGTAGAAAAATTAGGGGCCAGATGCAGTGCACCTGAGCGTGCTGAGGCAGTTGGCTGATGTGACTGCAGAGCTGCTGGCCATTATCTTTGAAAACTTGTGGTGATCAGGAGAGGTCCCAGATGACTGGAAAAGGGCAAATATAGTGTCCATCTTTAAGAAAGGGAAGAAGGAGGATCTGAGGAACTACAGATTGGTCTGCCTCACCTCAGTCCCTGGAAAAATCATGCAGCAGGTCCTCAAGGAATCCATTTCTAAGCACTTGGAGAACAAATGATAAGGAACAGTCAGCATGGATTCACCAAAGGCAAGTCATTCCTGACCAACCTGATTGCCTTCTGTGATGAGATAACTGGCTCTGTGGAGGTGGGAAGGGCAGTAGATATGATATACCGTGACTTTAGCAAGGTCAGATTGGTCTGCCTCACCTCAGTCCCTGGAAAAATCATGCAGCAGGTCCTCAAGGAATCCATTTCTAAGCACTTGGAGAACAAATGATAAGGAACAGTCAGCATGGATTCACCAAAGGCAAGTCATTCCTGACCAACCTGATTGCCTTCTGTGATGAGATAACTGGCTCTGTGGAGGTGGGAAGGGCAGTAGATATGATATACCGTGACTTTAGCAAGGTTTTTGATATGGTCTCTCACTACATTCTTGCAAGCAAGCTAAGGAAGTACAGGTTGGATGAATGGACTGTAAGGTGGATAGAAAACTGGTTGGATTGTCAGGCTCAAAAGGTAGTAATCAATTGTTCGATGTCTAGTTGGCAGTCAGTATCAAGTGGAGTGCCCCAGGGGTCAATCCTGGGGCCAGTTTGTTCAATATCTTCACACCAAGCTGCAGGGAGTAGTAGATATTAGAGGTACACTGATGTGGTCCATATTGTATCGACACTGATAAAAGGAGAAGTGACCTTATCGGCAATCAGCTTCTTTTGGGTGATGTGGCCGATTATGTCGCTGATAAATCCCATGGGCGACTGGTGCTGCCTTAGTTGGGGAGGGTGGGTACGTGCCCCTCAACGGCCAGTCAGCGACTGGGTTCATCCCCCTGCGGCCAATCTCACTGACCGGGGGGGGAGGGGTCCCCCCACGGCCAATTATGAAGTGGTCAATTGCGAAGTGGCCAATCGCTCCAGCCAATCACTGTAGCCAATTCTGGGAGTGGCTGAGGCCCATCGCTCTGGCTGTGGCAGCTTCTGGGAGCACAGAGGCACTCCACTCCCCAGCCAGTGGTTGCAGGGGGGGCACCAGTGCTCCCGCCTGTCCCCCCTGCCCATCACCTAAGTGGCGAGTGCGGCTGGTCAGGTGTTGCACCGGCACTCTCAGAGGGTGCACATGAACCTCTGTGCACCCCCTACATGTCGCCACTGATAAATGCCATGTGCTTATGCACAGCCACAGCATGCATGTGGCCAGGAGTGCAGCTCAGCAGCTTGGAGAGCAGTGTCTGGCTGGTAAGTCTGGTGGGAGGAAGGGATGTGGTGGAGGCAAGGGACATGGGGTGCAGATCAAGGCCCCCGAGGTGAGGGAGGGAGTGGGACTGGGGCTGGGGCAGGCACTGCTCAGCTGGGGTGGGGTGGGGTTCAGGGCAGAACCACCAGCTCACTGGGGGCACAGGGAGGTGGAGAGGGGTGGCAGCTCCTGCCACTGCGCACACCCCTGGAGAAGGCATGGGGGGGTGCATCTGCCCCACAGACCTGTGTGTGGAGTAAGGGCAGGCTGTCCATTGCATACTTGGGGCTGGGGGTCCGGTGGCTACACTTGGGCCAGGCAGGGCGGGGCGGTGTGGGGCAGAGGGGTTATGGGGGACTAGAGCCACCGAAAATTCGCTGTATGCCTCCCATCCCATTGCTGCCGCCACCCACCCTGCCACGCCCGGCCTGAGCACAGCTGCTGGGAAGAGGCTGGAGCAGCCTCGGCTCTGAGCACATAGCGGCAGCCTGCTCTCATCCCATGCACAGATCCTGGAGAGCACAAGCCCCCCATACCTCACCCGGGGGTGTGAGCAGTGGCAGGAACTGTGTCCCCCCACCCTCTGGATGAGACGCTGGCTCCCTCTTGCACCCTGTCCTGCCCCAGCTGGGCAGTGGCTGCCCCTACCCCAGTCCCATTCCCTCCTTCAACATGAGGGCTTCAGTCTGCATCCCCCATGCCCCTTCACCCCAACAGACTTACCAGCCGGACTCTGCTCTCCACACTGCTGGGCTGCATGTTGGCAATTGGATCAGGATTGGCCTATATGGCTGGTCAATAATCCGCCATCGGTATCAGCCCAAAAAATCTTTATTGATGCACCCCTAGTAGATATGCTGGAAGGTAGGGCTAGAATTCTGAGAGACCTAGACAAATTGGAGGACTGCACCAAAAGAAATCTCATGAGGCTCATTTAGGACACGTGCAAAGTCCTGCATTTGGGATGGAATAATCCCATGCACAGGATGGGGACTGACAAGCTAAGCAGCAGCTGTACAGGAAAGGATGTGGGGGTTACAGTGGACAATAAGATGAATAGGAGCCTACAGTGTGCCCTTATTGTGAAGAAAGTTAATAGCATACTGGGCTGGAGTGCTGCCAGTAGATTGAGAGAAATACAACAAAATGCAACAAAATGCCCTCTACTCAACACTGGTGAGGCCGGCCACATCTGCAGTTTTGTCCCCCCGCCCTTATAGAAAGGACATGGAAATTGGAGGGAGTCCAGAGGAGGGCAACAAAAATAGTTAGAGGGCTGGGGAGCATAACTTATAAGAAGAGGCTGAGGGAATTGTGTTTATTTAGCTTGGTGAAGAGAAGACTGAGAGGGGATTTAATAGAAGACTTCAACTACCAGCAGGGTGGTTAGAAAGAGGATGGAGCTAAACTGTTCTCAGTGGTGGCAGATGACAGAACAAGGAGCAATGGTCTCAAGTTGAAGCAAGGGAAGGCTAGGTTGTATATAAGGAAGAGCTTTCTCATGAGGAGGGTAGTAAAACACTGGAACAGGGTACCCAGAGAGGTTGTGCAGTCTCTACTCTAGAGGTTTTTAAGACCCGGGTAGACAGCCTTGGCTGGGATGATCTCGTTGGGAATGGTCCTGATTTGAGCAGGGGGTTGGACTAGATGACCTCCCAAGGTCACTTCCAACCCTAATTTCTATGATTCTATACCTCATCTGTGAATGTGGTTCGTACATGCCAAACTTCAAAACACAGTCATGAAGCTATTGTGTGGTGCCCCACCTGGCCACTTTCAAGCACACTCAAGACAGATCTCAAGAGTAAGTGTAGGGAGACATCCCTGCAGTGGATTCATTGCTGCATTTCTGGGTTAGCATTTCTGGGCTTAATGCAAGCAAGAGTGGGTGGGTTGGATGTTAGACAGCATCCCTCCTTGGGAATGCCACGCATACAGTATACCAAGAAAACCAAAGATAAGGACTTTGATGTAAATGGGTATCAGGCCCCAGAGAATGGGAATAAGGAGATTGGGATTCTTGTTTTTAACAAAGATGACTCATAGCATCTCCTGTCATAACTCCACAGTTAAATCTGAATAAGGTGGCCATTTTCTACCAACTCTGTTGTATCACTGATAACCTTTGCGAAAGGAAAATAATGAAATGGAAAATGTTGGTATTCCTCACCCTGCAATTCCAATTCTTTGTACCAAAAATGGTATCAAATTTTGCCAAATTATGCATCAGAATTCTACGTCACTGCAGGTCAGTTTTTCAGAAGGAAAAAAATCACTTAAAAAGTATCCAACATGTTCCAAGTATAACTTGCATAATTTACCTCTGTTCCAGGACAATGCATATAGATCAGGCTTGTCCAACATACGGCCCGCAGGCCGTCATGTGGCCTGCCAAGC